AGTGCTCTACAGCTGACATCCTGTGAAGTCTTCGTGCCAAAGGCAGGGTTTCACCCACTGTGCCAAAGGCAGGGTTTCACCCACTGGCCGCACGTCTTTGGCACGCTTCTGCATACTTTCGTAAGAAGTAAGAAGACCTTACAGTATGATACAGTGACTATGGTCTGTTGGGAATGCCCAAGTAAAATAATAAAATACAATACAATACAAAAAACACTTTCGGTGAGTCCTTGCTGGCGTTTTTTCTCCTTCCGGTCAGCTTCAATAGCGCGAACATGTTTGCCTGATCCCACGTGCTTCTTCACGGAACTATTTTTCTGGCTAAGACAATCATGGCACACACGACAGAATAATTGGCCGTCTCTACGAATTAACGAGGCTCTGGTTTGGAAATTCGTTAATGCGATCCACGATGCTATTAATACGGAGCATCAGCAAATCGAATTTTCGATTGAAATTCGAGAATCGTCACGAGAAGCACTCAATCAGTCGAAACTAGGGCTTTGTTCGACTGAAAAATGCCCGCAAAGAGAAAATACTTTTCGAATGCTCCGCGCGTGCTCTAGTACACCATGTAGGTCTACACGGCGCACTACGAGTAGATCTACTCATACTTGCGCATGTAGCTACTAGTTCTTACTGTAGTTGTTGTTGTTGTTGTTGTTTATTTTACTTCGCAGATTCTAACGGGCAAGTTGCCCAATAACAAGAAAGCGAAGGCAAAGAAAATAATACTAATAAAAGAAATAACCGGGGCAGCAGAAAATGAATAATAGCTTTAAGAACTCAGATGGTGAGCCAAGGAACAAATTTCCATGTTACAAATAATCGCTTTTAAAAGTAAAAAGAAAAGAGCGGGTGGTACAGCAGACTTCCTATTCTGAATTCCCTGAACGAAGCAGAGACATTAGCTGGGTACATTACACAGTAGGAAGAGAGCTACCTCGGTCGACATCAGTGGACGTGGACTACGAGTGGATGCGACATACGAGTGGATGCGACAGCAACAGTGACTGTCGTAGTTGTAAGTGCACATGCGCTATGCACAAGGCACAGTCGAACCGGACTTCTTGACGCTTTTTTCTTTCTTCTCTCTCGAACTGTGAAAAGGTTTGTCAAGTGTGCTTTTCGTTTCATTTCAAGATCCTGGAATCGTGGCTTTTTTTCACCAACTACCAGCCCCGCGGTATATGCCTCCTGCTCCCAGTAACCCTGCTGGCGTTGCCTCGGCATCTGCGTCTATGGTGAGTTCCCCGCAGGGAGAGGGCAACTCAAAGTGTGCCAAATATTTGAGGTTCGACCTCACCATGGATCTCATTCTACTGAGGCAATGTTGGGCCCACCCTCAGCTATTCGTCCGCGGGTCTCCTGATATGCAAGGGCAGGGGATAGCGGAGGAGCTCGGCCGAGATCCGCCTTTTCAAGGGGTCTCCAAGAGAGATCCTATCGCCAATAGCCTGAATCGGAGCATCCGCCGCTTCGCGTCATCCTCAACGGCAATGAGAAACAGCAGCAACTCCGTTCTGTCCAGGTGACCTTCAGTGAACTCAAGGAAGAGAAGCGAATTCAACAAATCGACTTGCTCTGCAACAAACGCAGCCATTGCACATCTCAAAATCCCAGTCCTCAACTACTCAGGCTAGAGAACTCGATTCGAAAATACTGGACTGCGCTACATGCTGAACCTCTTTTTCATTCGAATTTTCGGTCTGATTTTCTCTTTGCCATTCGAATAATCAAATCGAAAATTCGATTTGCTGATGCTCCGTATTCTTCAGCGTTCTTTCACCTCTTATTGGGGCAGGCTTCGGTGAAACATTCTTCAGAACGGTGCGAGGACGAGCAATAGCGGCTGGACGAGGTAAATCTTCCGACTCACTCTCAAAACCAGACTCTTCGGAGAGCTCATAATCTGTACTGGAGGAATCCAACACTTCGCAAAGTGCTCTCGCGGCCATCACGCGGCAGTGCAGCTACAGAAACTCTGCTTCCTGCTGAGAACTGCAATTTTACACCTTGCAAGAGGGAATGCACATAGCACCACTACCGTAGATCTACTGTTTATCTGAAATAAGTCCGAAGGCACTAGAGCCAGCATGCTCTTCCCATTTTCCTACATGACTGTACCGTTTATATACCATGACTGTACCGGTAGTCTGGTATCCCGACATATCACCGAACGACAGTTCACCGAGCGACAGTTCACCGACCGACAGCTCACCGAACCACAGCTCACCGAATACCCAGTTCACAGAATGCTCATTTCACCGAATGCACAACTCACAGAATGACAGTTCACCGAGCGGCCAATTCGCCGAACAGACATTTCACCGAAAGAAAGAAAAAACAAAGAAGGACGGAGAGAATTTTGGATTTTTAAATATATTTCAAGGATTCCCAGAGGCCACTAAGCCTATCGAGGAGGTCTCCATTTGTCTACAGAGGTGAGCAGATCAATGAAGAACAATAGACAAGCAGCGAACATGTTGCAATCACTTCACAACGTTGAAGAATTTTGAATTTTTGACAATAGAAGGCTGGTTGATATACAGTCAGACCTCGCTACCACGGAACTTTTATCGGATTGCATTGACCTTGTAATGTTTACACGTTTGTGTAATGTTTACTAGGGTTGAAACGATTGTACCAAAAAGCGATGGATCTAGCTAATCATTACGGTTTTGATTGTCTCATATTTTTCACCCAAAACGTACTAAAATGAACCCTTACTGTTGATGTTTTAACCAGCTAACACAGTGTTTTACTCTTACCAGTGGTGATGATTGGAATAAAGGATTGATTCAGTAAAAACTCGCTGCTTTTCAGAGCTATTCTTCCATCTTTGTAATTTTTGTGCTTGCCAGTTTGGTCATTTTGGTCACAACTTTTAACCGTGGAAATGTAGTAATTTTTGCACGCAAACCCGACACATGCACTCAGTGGTTATGCGACGACTGACTGTACATTGTACTACATTTGCCACATAACGTGCAACCAGCGCCAGTACTGCAGTAGTGGCAGTACGTCAGTGCCAGCATTTCAGCCCTGCGAAACTCAGCACCGGTGAAGTTAGCCTGACTAGTGACTACGAACCAGTCATTACAATTTACAGTAGAATTTCGGTGAGCTGTCTTGTCGGTGATATAGCCATTCGGTGAAATGTCTTTCTGTGAGGTGTCTTTCGGTGAATTGTCCAGTCGGTGGATTGTCCATTCGATGATTTGTCTTTCGGTGAAGTGTCTTTCGGTGAATTGTCATTCGGTGAATGGTCGGTAAACCTCTGTTTGTTTGTTTGTTTAGAGTCGAAGAACAAATTTATTTGCCTAATTACCGGCACATGATATCGACTAGTGTGTGACTTGAACTGTTGACCCCCATGCCATGCGCATGCGGTCAAAGTTGCGAAAAGGCAACACAAAGTAAGTTGCGAAGTACGTAGTTCGCGAAAATGAAGAAAGTTAGTTGCGAAAGTTGCGATTTCTTCCAAAAAAGCGAAATGTTGCAAAAAAAATAGTGGCGAGCATCTTTGCGAAAGGGCTAGTGTGTGTGCCGGTGTGTGTGTGTGTGTGTGTGTGTGTGTGTGTGTGTGTGTGTGTGTGCCAGCTAGTTCGGTTGGTGGGTACACTTATGCCGGATAGTGTTGGGTCTGTTGCCAACGGGCTTGGCTGCTTGAAGGTGTAATGTTGTACCTACCACCTTTGTTGGTTTCAGGGTTCATATACTTTCTATTTGAAGTATACATACCTGTTAACCATGGACTACTTCTGGCTAGATTGACTCTTGCGTAATCATGGTGCTAGTGAAGCTTTTATCAGATCCACTCTAATTTAGCCACTCACACTAGTAGCAAGGAATGTGAACATAGTAAAAAAAAAAAAAAAAAGTACTCCCTGCACTGGGGGCAGGGGTAACTGCAGTTGGATCCCGGGACGGATACCCTGATGCCGTCAATCCTTTTTCTGCACCTTGTCCTCACCGACTTACTGAGGTGTGGTGAGCCCATAAGTGGGATCATTTTCAAGTCCACCCAGAGTTTTGGTGATTTCAGGGGGTGTCGGCCGTTGGGCGGTTCAATGGCCAATTGAGTCATCTTTCCAAGATTCCTTTTGAGTCTCTCTCCCCTCTCCCGGGGAGACCCACGTAACCAGTTTTGGCAGTGAGCAACAAAAGCAAAGTAAATGTTTGTGTGTGTGTGTGTGTGTGTGTGTGTGTGTGTGTGTTTGGTATGTGTGTGTGTGTGTATGTGTATGCGTGTGTATGTGTGTCTGAGTGCTAGGCATACGCAGATTATGCCGGCAGAACAAATTGAGTTCGGGACTTTTTCTGGCACGTTTCAGGCATGTTTGGTATGTGGATAAAGAAATGGAGCAGAATTCGAGGAATTGCCCGCCATAAGGTTTGTATGGTTCTGCCAATTTCACTGCTTTTCGAGCAGAATCTGCAACCTTACCCATGTCATGTAGATACATGGAAGAGGTTTGTGCAGCCCGTCTTGCAGTCGTGCTCGCACAAGTCGTGTCAGGGTAGGGCAGGGTAGGGTAGGGCAGGGCAGGGTAGGGCAGGGCAGGGTAGGGCAGGGTAGGGCAGGGCAGGGTAGGGTAGGGCAGGGTAGGGTAGGGCAGGGTAGGGTAGGGCAGGGTAGGGTAGGGCAGGGTAGGGTACGGTAGGGCAGGGTAGGGCAGCGTAGGGTAGGGCAGGGTAGGGCAGGGCAGGGTAGGGTAGGGCAGGGTAGGGCAGGGTAGGGTAGGGCAGGGCAAGCATTGTGAAGAGCCTGACAAGTACTAGTACGTACTGCGGCATCTGTGTCGTGTAGAACCTTGTGTGTGGTGTGTGTGTGTGTGCGTTTGTGTGTGTGTGTGTGTGCGCACGTGTGCGTGTAGTGTGTGTGTGTGTGCGTGTGTGTGTGTGTGTGTGTGTGTGTATGTGTGTGTGTGTGTGTGTGTGTGTGTGTGTGTGCGTGCACACCCATGTATGCTGGGCAGCAGACAGGAGAGCAGAACTACGAGCACAAAAAATGATTATTCTGATAAAAAACCTTGCACCGGATAAAGCCAGCGGGTGATAAACGTGGATGAACGGGGTGAGATCGGGGCGGGCAGAGAGAAAGACAGTAGGTGTGATCTCAGCAGCGGTGTGATCTCGGCAGGGCGGTAGAAGTATCAACGATACGTGCGAGGTAAGAAACGTGCCGCGGTCCACACAGTTCATGAGAGTAAAATCGAGCACAATCTAGCTTGCGGCAAGATCGCTGCACCAGCGAGTGGGCCTTTGCAGGAATACGTATGACAAGCATCAACACCGGGACACAGGAAACTATAACTGCCGCACAGACAGCTGTCATGTCAAGTTCGCCACAATATGCAGGGTGCAGGGTGCGAGTCTGTGCGAGTCGATGCCCTGGTCATGGCTCCAGCTCAACTCAACTTGGTGGTAGCAGCAGCGGCAGCGAGAAAGCGAGCTGATCGGTGTGCAATGACACTCGCCTCAAAACGACAATGCTCAAGGTAACGTGCCGTAGCAGCAGCAGCAGCGCAACCCGCGGAATAACCATCTTCTCCGCCACGTTAAGACCTGAGCAGCAAGAGAGAATAGATGGGTGTATACAAGCACAAGAGTGCTGCTTGGTGACCAGTACAATGTGGCACTCAGAGTGAAGCAAGGATTGGAAGTATACCAGGGGCGTCGGAAAGTATTTTAGTGTGCTACGGTCAGCCATCCGAAGTACAATTTGCTCGTGGGGGAGGGGTGGTTGAGCCGAACATTTTAGAATTTTAGATCCCAGATCAGTGTATTTTTATTGATTCACGGGGTACCTGGGACAAAAAGTGGTACGGTCAATACCGTAGTGACCGTACCGTGTCCGACGCCCCTGTATACTCGTGAAAAAATCAAAATTTTTGAACCCGGAGTGTGTCATTTGCTAAGCTTCAGAGTGAGAGCTATAAAGCCAATATCACACTACGCTCTCCGACTCCCGTTTACGTCTACGGTGAAACGTCCAAAACGTGTGGTCCTGTCACTCAGACTGGCACAGTTCTTGACCCGTACACGCGGTCACGTTTTTTGGAGAAATTTGAAGATGCAAACCCACGTACAAGGTCACTTGGAAAAAGACTGCGGGAGATATGCACGTTCATCCGTAAAAGGTTTTTTTTCATTTCTCTTTCTCCTTGCTATCAGTACACCCTCTCTGTAAATTCCATTCTGCATTGGTTGGCTGTCACACTTCATCTCCACCGATTTATTGGCCGTCTTTCGACACGCCAGGAGATAATGTCTAAATAATAGTGTTGAAACGAGCGTATCTATAACAAACGAGCGATCAGTTCCACTAACGAGCAAGCTATCGAGCGAGCTAACGAGTTTCATTGATGTGGCAAATATGATTTTTTGAATTTTTTTCTAAATTCGATTTTTTTTAAGCTGGTTCAAATATCACCGCCGGCATTTGGGGCTGCTGCTGCTTCACTTCGAACTGCTGTTTGGTGTCGAGATGTCTTTTCAGCGTCGTCGTTGAGCAGCCTTTGTAAGAATAGACCCTTTTGCAAAGATTGCAAGTAGCCCTGTTCTTCGCTGCATCGCGGGAGAAAACTTCCAAACGACTCAGCGTAACTTTCACTCGAACGGAGAGGTGACCGAAGCATATCCTGCGACAGGTCAGCAGATGCGGAGCAAGACATCAGTAGAGTCCACCAAAGCTGCAACGACAACTGAAACAACTCAGTGTCGTGCAGGTGTCACTGTAACTGCGAGTGGTTTTCATTTTGCGCGGGACTGGACTCTCGATCGACCAGGGAGTCGTGAAATATTCTACGACTCCCCGGTCAACATGTACTGCCATGTGTATGGAGTACGGTGTACGGTGTTCGTTAGTGCAAACGAGCTGGCCGCACAAACGAGCCGAATTTCTGGCGAGCGAGCTAACGAGTACCCGGTGAGATGGTTTCAACACTACTAAATAAACAAAATAAATAAGCAGCAGCAGCACCAACCGGCATCACCACCGCCATCAGCCATACGTACCAGTATCAGTATCAGCGAACACCGCAGGCATCACTGCCAAAACATGAACACTACACGTCCTTACCTTCATACTAGAGCGCGTGCAGGGGATGGCGTTACGCTGGTATGCGATCACGCAAGTATGCCAGGATGCCCACAGTTCCCTTTTGTAGTATAGCGGGGCGAGGTACACGGAATGGGTTTCCGGTGATCTGCAGCGAGCTGCAGAGATAACAACGAATGAAACAATAGAGACTTAGCTGCTGGAGAGAGAGAGAGAGAAAGAGAGAGAGAGAGAGAGAGAGAGAGAGAGAGAGAGAGAGAGAGAGAGAGAAAGAGAGAGAGAGCACACTGCAGAGAAATTGCAAGCAGATGGACAGATCGTACAACAGGCAAGGTCAGATTCGGATAACGAACCAAAATACATTCGACACAACAATAGCACGTACACCAGTTGTGTGATGTTGCCCAATGTCGGAGGAACCTGTGTTATATCATTGTCTTGGAGGTCCAGATGACCAAGCTTTCCAAGTCCCGACAATCCGACAACATCTATTTCGTTTATCTAGAAGACAGAGACACAGGGAGACAGACAGACAGGCAGACAGACAGACAGACAGACAGGCAGACAGACAGACCGGTGTGTCATTGTATGGATATCAAGTATTTGCCGAGACATGCATACAAACATACAGGCAGACGGAGGGAGAGAAAGAAAGGGAGAGAAAGAGAGAGAAAGAGAGAGAAATGAAAAGTCCACACAAACAAAGATACAGTTGTCGATCAAAGTGAACGCATCCATACAAACATACGTATGGTAACGCGTGCTTTTGGAGGGCAGGGGGGGGGGGGGAGTAGACATCAAGAGGGCTGCAGAGTGAATTCTGGCTGCCTTTTTCGCGGGATTTCTGTGCCAGCATAGAGGATACATCTTCTTCGAGATAGGAGAAGCTTAAGAACGTAAATGCTGAAATGTTTGCGTTGCGTTACCGTGACACAAGGCAAAGAGGGACACGACGCTGCAATCTCGTACCTGGTTACCACTGGCTAGGAGAATTTCCAGAGATGTTAGGCAGTAGACCTGCTCTGGAATACGCCGCAGTCTGCAAACGACAATAAAGATTCAACACAAATGCACACACACACAGAGAATTTGGGGACTAAGCGATGCCCTGCATGGAAAAAAGGAGTCGGACATACAGCAAAACCTGGTGTAAGCGGCCTCTGGTTTTAGCGACCACCTGCTCTTAACGACCGTTTTTCCATGCACGGGAAGCTGTACACTGAACCTGTTGGACCTGGTTCTAAAGACCACCTGGCTTTAACGACCGCTTTTGCTTCCAACGTGGGGTAGTCGCTTAACCCTTTAAGAGCCAAAGGAAATTTTCAAAATTCTGCATTTTTTCGTGTTCCTTGGATCATAGCTTCAGTTTTACCCACTCAATCCTCACAATCTAGGGCTTCCTGGAAAGGTCTCCGCGAGAGGAAAAGAATGAGGTCGATCATGATAGCCAGCACACCGTCTAGCCAGCGCTAGATCGCAGCGACAGTACGAAAAATGCCCCAAATGCGTCCAATTGCGTCCCGCTCCAGATATTTCATTTTTACTCAATCGTGGAGTTCCAATTTTTTCGCTGTGTACTCTTGACAATATCAACAGTGAAACCCGTGCAAATTCGAGTAAACCAGCATGACGAAAAGTCTCAAAATTCTCAATACTAAAGTCGCACTGCGCGCTTTTGAAATTGCCGCGATCGCGGCTCAACTTACGAGTGATTTATCTCAGGAACCGTAGCTCGCAGTGCTTCGCGGATTGTTTCTCCCGACAGGTGAGAGTTTTCTCTTCGCCCTGGATATTTCAATCACTGGATTTGAGCGAGATTGGACTGAGTTACGATCTTTTGAAGTTTTGCATTTGAATGCGTCGTTTACGACGCATTCAAGTATGGGGCGGCTCTTAAAGGGTTAAATCAGGTTTTACTGTAGTAGGAATGAAAGAAGCTCTCCCTCTTCTCTACCCCTCTCTCTCTCCCTCCCTCTTCTCTCCCTCTCTCTCTCTCCCTCTCTCTCTCCTCTCTCTCTCTCTCTCTCTCTCTCTCTCTCTCTCTCTCTCTCTCTCTCTCTCTCTCTCTCTCTCTCTCTCTCTCTCTCTCTCTCTCTCTCTCTCTCTCTCTCTCTCTCTCTCTCTCTCTCTCTCTCTCTCTCTCTCTCTCTCTCTCTCTCTCTCTCTCTCTCTCTCTCTCTCTCTGTCTCACACACACACAGACACAGACAAACACACGCACACACACACGCACACACACACACACATGCACACACACACCAGCAGACTGACCTGTTGCCTGAAATTCGAAGTTCACGGAGTGCTAGCAAGCTGCCTATGTTCTCAATCTCCACGAGAGAGTTGTAGCTGACACACGCCAGAGACACAATGGCAAGAACAGAGACACAAGAAAATCAGCTGTGAACAACCTAACAGCTATTCATGACAAACACAAAGAAAAGATAGAAATAAATGAGCCTCTTGATCTGGAGATGGGGCTTACGCCGTTTTGCGCATTTTCGAGACAACGAGTTTAAAGGCCGAGTGTCCGTTTTCACGAAATTCGCCTACATTGCTCGTGCTTTTGCCATTTTTTTCGCAGAACAGGGAAGCTTGGCAGCTGTGCACACAACATGCCTGGACAGCAGACATGAAGAGCTTTACGTGGGTACCCAGTTTTGAGAGAGAAAAAAAAACGGCCGTGGAATCGCTGAGCTATGGGAAGTTGAAGCCACAACATCCCGCACAGAGCACAGTTGTTTTTTTTTTAATTTATTTATTATTATTTGTGTCTTTCCCTCAAACTAGTCAAGATTTTATTATTATTTATTTTTTTACTTCGCAAAATCCATTACGCGGATCGCTGCAGTTCTGCTTCTTCCTCGGTGCTGAAAAGACTTTTGATGAAAGTTCGAGACGTTTCCTTCCGATGCCCGTCAGGGACTGTAATGCTGCAAACCGGCCAATCTTAGCGTCGGTGATATATACTTTAGCGATTTTAGCGAAAGGAGTGTTTTCGTTAAAGCTTTGCCGCGTCGAGAGAAAACTTGCACTTACAGTACAGGACTAGTCTTTTTTTAAACTCGGACCGCGAAAATATTTCATCGCGAATTGGTCCTGATTCAGATAACGCTAAAATTTACACCCGCTAAAATTTATTCTCGGATGTCGGGCCCAATGATAAATGTAGAAAGGAAAGGGACACATGGACACGAGTATTCATCGTATCCATATCCGTGTCCGTATCGTATCCGTATCTCCCTTTCGTTTCTAGATTTTAAATCTATACCCGCAAAAATTATCCGTTCTACGGTATGAGTGTTGACCAGACATTAGACACCCGTAGCATTCAACGTTTTACACTAACGCTATAAACTTGCGTACATTTTACCGTGAGTCCAGTATTCGTCGTTAGCAAAGTCACGCAGACCAAAAAACGTTGTTGCCACGGTATCGAGTACTCGTACCGAGTCGTACGGTTATATATATATTATATACTTCCACTTTTTTTTACTTCCATCGATCTTCAGCTAGCTTGTCTTGCCTCGATTAGAAGTGAAGATGGATTATGATCTTCGTGACATGAAATTGCTTTTCTTCAATGATCCTGACGATGAAGATGTGGAGGACGTTCTACTCCTCAAGTTATTGGAGAGGGAGCAGGATTTGGCTGACGCTGCTGAGCAACGCCGTTTGATGAAGTTCTCTCTGGATGCTCTGCCTGAGTTGAATTTTCACGAGAAGTTTCGATTCATGAAAAAACGACTTGGCAGATTAGTGTTTGGCGCTCGGTATCCCAGCGGAATTCAGAGCCCGTAACAGGACGACATGGAACGGAATGGAAGGCCTCTGCATTATTCTACGTTATCTTGCCACGCATAGCCGGCGTTTGGAAGTGGAGCTGGAATTTGGTCGCGGTGAGGCTGACATCAGCATCACCGTGAACACCATGATGTCATTTATCGTGGATAGATGGTCCAGACTTCTCCAGGACTTGCGCGAGCACACCCAACAGGGTCGCTGGCTAACAGAACCTAAGCTTCGTGAAGCTGCTGTAGCCGTTCATCAAAAAACAGCCCTATCTAACAGCATTGGATTCATCGATGGAACAGTCCGACCAATTTGCCGTCCCAAACGAGGCCAGAGACTCTGGTGCAGCGGGCAAAAGAGGATGCACTGTCAAAAATTCCAAGGTGTCATGACACCTTATTGTATACTAGTGCTGAAATGATTATATCGATTACTCGTTACTTACTCGATAAGAAATAGATCGAACGGTTATTTCGATTTTATCGGCTAAATGAGTAGAATGTTACTTACGCTCGGTACGGGATTCCCCCCCCCCCCCCTTTTGGGGGTCGCACAAAGCGTGCATGTATCGAAAGTGTTGCAAATACGGCACGAATATGTACATGACTGCACACTTGCAACATCGATGTACGTGTAAAAGTACAAGCACGATCTGAGAAACATCGACGTGATCACCGTCGCCGACTTTTGAACTGACTACAGCTGTACTAGTACTTTTCTTACATACAGCATGCAGGACGGGCTGGCTCAGTACGTGTCTACACTAGCTAGCTGCAGGGGCTGGAGTTCCCTTCACGTGCTAGTAGTCTTGCGCTAAAGACAGTAAAGTGGTACATGGTCTTCAGTTTCGTGTTTTCCGTTCTGTCGACGGTTCCCGAACCAGTTTACTCGAAGACGAGCTAGGCCTGGCGTCTGGGCCTATTTTGAGCATAGACAGGAAAAGCAACTAGTTACTTGTTGGCGCGCCTCAAGTCAGCTCATCCATCGAAATCTGCCAATCTGCACCCCTGGCCGGTTTCTCTGACTTCATCGTCAAAGTCAGCAAAGTCACAGGCGAAGGGCACCATCAGCTCCTGGGTTGCAACCAGTGCGTTGCCTCTGTCTTGTCTGTGTTCGTCTGGTCAGTCCGAGCAGCTGACGGACTTGTTGTGGGATCATCGGATCTATGCGCCCGCTATCCGTCGTTGGCAATGTTGGACTCGTAATTTTTTTGAAATTCACAAAACGTACACGTACTGATGTAGTTGCAATGATAATCGTTTAGCCGATAAGCCGATCGTTATGGTATCAGCTAAGCCACTAAGGAAAAAACGTAATCGTTTCAGCACTATTGTATACTCCAGGATGATGGTGAGGAGGTTTTGGCTGGGTGGACGACAGTGATGCTGGAACTCCCGGGGAAGATGATTCACAAGCGAGAGTTAAGGTGACGACGATGTTTTTTTAAAAACGTGATGAGCCCGACGTCCACGCCGCTGCCTGTCGATTCTCCCGAGACTGTCCGTGGAGAGCTGGTGACAGTGTGCAGCCAGCGTAGCAAGTGGCGGTGTCCAGTTTCGTTGTGGCTGCTCAAATACGTGCCTGCCTCTCGATTCAACCGAGACTGTCCTCAGCCAACTGGGGAACAGTTTGCAGCCAGCGCAGCAAGTGGCGGTGTCCAGTTTCGTTGTGGCTGCTCAAAGACGTGCCTGCCTCTCAATTCCACCGAGACTGTCCTCAGCCAACTGGGGAACAGTGTGCAGCCAGCGCGGTAAGTGGCGGTGTCCAGTTTCGTTGTGGCTGCTCAAAGACGTGCCTGCCTCTCGATTCAACCGAGACTGTCCTCAGCCAACTGGGGAACAGTGTGCAGCCAGCGCGGCAAGTGGCGGTGTCCAGTTTCGTTGTGGCTGCTCAAAGACGTGCATCGATGCTCTGGCCAAAATTGCTGTTTTTCAGTGCACGGTAGAATTGCGCTCAGTTGGAAACATTTCAGAAGGACCTCATCGTGATGGGCATGTCGGAAGCATCTCAATGCGCCCAGGAACAACGGCATGTAGAGCACGGAGGAAACGTAACAGGTACTTCGCTACTGCTTTGCTGTGAAAGTAGTCCGTCTGCCTTTCGCCACATTTACGTCATGCGGGCCGCAGACATTTGCAGAATTTGAAAACGGGCTCGTGCCGAGAGTTCACAGAAGCGGAGCAAGAAAAACCAGTCACAGACACTCCGAATGAGCTCCCTCCAGCGGGTGGGATCCTCGGCAACGCCTCTGATACGTTGCAGATCATGAGCGGTGACTAGGCGGCCTTCTGTGACCCGCCTCCGGTCAGCATCCAGCAAAGGTGGTCAGACCATGGCCCGGAAGCCTGACCCGATCTGACGGCCTTGACTATTGGTGACGCAGCGCGTGCATGGTCGGCCCCAGTTGCCAGGTGTGTCAGCCTCCTGATGAACGTAGTGCCTAATTTCCAGCACTGCAGTAGTGTCCTCATCCAGGTGCAGTATGTGGCCAACATTTTGATATACTGTAAAAGCAGAAATTTTCAGTGGTGTATTATTTTCGGTATTCTCCAAAATCGGCGGTTCGGTGGAGGGAAATTTTCGGTAAAACCCGTTTTCCAGCTAAGTGTACTAGTGCTACATGTATACAGTACCGGTAGTACCGAAATTTGGGACGCGTTTTATTTTCGGGAAAAATTGTCGGCACCGAAGTTACCGAAAATAGAACACCACCGAAAATGTCTGGTTTTATAGTATCAAGAGTACATAACCCCCCAGAGTGTGCAACTCCACTATGGGTGCTGTCCCGACAGAATTTCAAGTTGACGTCATTTTGATGATGCAATGCGCACTGTACACGGATTATCAGACGAATCCGGAACCTGTGGTTGACCGAAGCCGATCGATCCTGTACAAATTATTACAAAGAAAAACGTGTGATGCGTTGACACCCGTACACATGTTGTAAATCACTGGTGCAAGGAGCATTGCGTCATAAATAATGACGTCAACTTGAAATTCTGTCGGGACAGCAGGGTATGTGGGAGTTGCACACTCTTGGGGGGTTATGTACTCTTGATAGTATGTACAGCAATACAAGAATAAATATCTACAGTGGTAGCAACTGATATCCAAACCCTGATTTCCGTGCTTGAGTGTAGCACCGATTCTAGCCGTCTCTATTTCGTAGTGTTAGGCCACACGTTTTTATTTCTATGTCTCTCGTCACCCGCGCGCATACGATTCAGGAGTCTGGAAGAAAAAAAGAAAAAAAACGGTGCTGCACTGACTGTGCATGTGGGCACCAGCACACTCATGCACATGTACATAATGTGGCCTGGCCTGTGCAACACATGATGCGAGGTCGGCATTTGTTGTGCGCAATCTAGCCGCACATGCACAGATTGTGACAGAAGCTCCTACCACATACTAGTTGCTAACTATGGATGCTATTTTGTATTGGTGGATTTTAGTGTGAACAAAGGTCTAATAAACTTTTTTTTATTCTTCAGTCACTTATAATTTTTTTTCCACCTCTCACATACGTTTTTAGATTTTCAGGTGACGAGAAACATAGAAATAAAAGCATGTGGCCTGACAATCCCCTGCTGGGTCTTTACAATGCTCCAGGAGTCGGATTTCAGTTATTACCATAAAATCCCGCCGGAGAGCCCGTCTCTCCCATCCGTCCCTCCCTGACTTCTTGTCAGGGAAGTGATTGATTGTATCCTCGTATGACCCTGTGATGCCGTACTGTACTGCAGACGCGTGCTCGACCCCGTTGGAAATGTACGCAACAGTGCCCACCCTCTTGACCAGGGATCGCACAAACCCTGAGTTTTGACGGGTCTGTACGACTCCTGGCTCTTGACCTTTGGTCGGTGTACGAGATGCACGGACAGTTTTCGTAGGGTGAGTACTTTTTCATGTAGAACTGAATGCGGCAAGTAGGACTCGCCCATCCGCCCCTCCCCACCTGAACCTACTCGGAGCGTCGAGGAGGTAGGTGCGCTCTGGCGGGATTTTACGGTAATTACTGCTCACATTGACCTTGTTACTCACTCATAGCAGAACTCTTCGTAGCACAGTATTGAGAGCTCATAACACAGTTGTTTTTCAAACAGCCAACACTTTTTGCGACGGATGAAGATTTTTGATTCAGGTTTTTTTGCACAGCAATCTGTGTGATATTAAAGAGCAATATCATGATGTAGGTGAAAAATGATGAAAATGAAATAAGCCCCTTTTCGGATCTGGAGGCTGAAATAATAATTTTTTTAATGCTGTCTATTAGCTTTGCTGAAAAAGGAGAAGGACAAGAATGTTACGAGCCATGACTAACTGTCCACCAACGTAACCAGATCTGATACAGTCAGCGAGTGCTTTTTCATCATAATTTAATTGGCTCACCATCCGAGTTCAGTATTTGCTTTATATTTTATTTTTACAAGTTAACCACAAACCATCATGGCGCAAACGCCGGCAAAAACGCACAGAGATGCACATAGGGATGGCAGCCGGAGCAGTGGAGGCGGGGAAAGAGCAGCTAAACCAACCAGGGGTCTCGGCCTCAGCACTGCTCATGCGCGCCAAACGGAAAAAAATTCGAAAATAGAAAAAAATGAGCAGGAGCACTACAGAGCAAATGTGAAATAAGGGTGGCAGCACGGTCACGGAATGTTGTTCAATGGCTTTGCTGTTTGCTTTATGCAGAGCTCACTGACTTGTCAGTTTGAGCACTCGGGCAAGGTACGTTCGGGCCTGGTTTAACCCTTTCACTGCCGCTGTCGACTCCAGTCGACAGCCCATTCATGCACTCTGAGTGCCGCTGTCGACTGCAGTCGACCAGCAAGAATGCAGTTCCCAGTGCCGCTGTCGACTGCAGTCGACAGGCCGACTTCGCCCAGTTTGGGCCACTATTTTGGGGTATTGGAGATGTTTAGCTGCCATAGAGGGTTACTGGGCCCTGGAAGAGGTCCATATCCATTGAAATACGCTGCCAGGAGTAGGGGTTGCCATTTGAAAAAAATCGAACCAGCGTCGTTGAAAATGTGTATTCGATTTTTAGCCGAGCGGCGCTGAAAAAATCGGTTCCCACGCACTTCCACCGAGCTGAGTCGGTGCGAGTATTTTTCTCTTTCCCGTCAACTTTCATTGCATAGAGCATGGAATTTGGTTCAGACTTGATGCCTAGCTATTATCCAAGACTCCAGGCGGCTATCCATTGCGACAGGCGGTTGGAGTCACGGGTAGAGAACCGAACGACGGATTCCTCACGAACGCATTTTGGATGCAGCTATGTACAAACTTGACGGAAACAGCGCTGGCGGCGCTCGCCGGGTCCAAAACTAAATTTTCCTGAGAACTAAAACGTTGCAATGGCGACCAGCACGGTCAAGGGACACTACAGGTATGTCAGCTACAAGTATAATAATATTATTCTTTCCGCAACGACACCTACCTCAATACCTGACGATCTACTGCAAGCTGATGCGGAAGTGCATTACACCCGCGAACGAAGCGCTTGTCAACGGAACAGGGAAGCGCTTCATTCTCCGACGTTGAAGAGATGTGCTTGGACTACTGATAATTAGGAGAACAAAGGACCACCATGTCGGCAGAACAATCCGCGGCTGTTCAGCGACACGATCCGCTTCACGAAACGACTCGCGATCGTTCCCCAAGTTTTCTGCAAGCAGCAAGAATTGCGTCCGCAGCGACAGGACGAAAGTCTCTCGCAAACTGAAGTCCTGTTGCCACGAAGACAGGGAAGTTTCAGCAAGCACTTTCTTCTGCTTCAAGTGTTGTAGCTCTCCGGTCCACTGGCAGATCTTTCAATCCTACCGAACGAAAAACAGGATCTGCTTCTCTCTCCAAAACAACAACTAACTAACTTTACTTCGCAACTGGCCAGGCCGTACACATGGTGTACATGCACTGTATGTAGTGCATGCGGCGCGCAGCGCACTTTCGCATGACATGACACGACTTGTTGCACAGCGGCTGGCGCTAGAACGCTCAGCGCGCTTGTACTTCGGATTTTGCGATTTTTTTCGAGGGCAATGGCTTCCTTTATCAGTTGGCTACCTACGATGTATACTTTAGAAAGCGATATTCCGTACAGAAAGTACCAAAAAATCCAGGAAAAGCAGGCCTTTCGATTTTTTGAACTGGAGGTAAAAAGCGCCTGGCACTGGGGAGTGCACAGCTCAGCTGACAGCCTGGCACTGAGTGCCTTGTCACTTGAGCAGTCAGCTGGCAGTGAAAGGGTTAAATCTGGCTTTGGAAAATTTATTTTTCATTGCTATCAGGTCCGGCCTCATTTTCTCTGTGCTGCGCTGATGAGTCCACAAAGGACGAAACAGTTCTGTCCGCAGATTGAGTAAACGCTGTCTCCGAAATCCAAGATCACTCGTCAAATCTTGAGGAGTGATTTTGGAGACAGCATTTTTTTTATCGCCGTTAGAAAAACACATGCACACAGACACACGAATACACATACACATACGCACATAAATGCACACACGCACACGCACGCATGTGTACCTGATGTCCAACATCTGCAGACAGCGGAGGCTGGAAATTCCCGTGAGGCGAGCGTCCAGTCGGTTGTGACTCAGATTGAGATGGGTAAGTGAAACGGACAGAGATCCAATACTGCACGAGAGAAACACACGTGCACACACACACAGAGAAACACACGTGCACACACACACACACACACAGAAACACATGTGCACACACGTTAGATTATTACAAGATTTTTTTCAATTTTTTTCATTTTTTTACACACACACGCCACACCACATACTCCGGCATACACTGGCTGTTGGTAACCATCCAGGAAAATGAAAGAAGAGCTAGGAGAATGAGAAAGAGAAGAAAGACGTGTGCGACCATAATCGTCGGGAATTGAACCCGCAACCGCTCGATTGGAAATCGACTGCACATACCACTGCACCATATGGGACACACACACACACACACACACACACACACACACGCATGCACACACACACGGCCACACACACACACGCACACATACACGCACACGCGGCCACACACACCGAGCATGCACTGCATCTCGGACACCTTACTCACTCGCTCGGGACTTCCGTCAGGTCGCATCGTTTGAAATCAACACTAGTGACGCCTGCCTCAGCTGCAGCAAGGATCAGCTCACCACTAACCGCTTGTTTCTTGGAGCTGCACAGTTAGTGAAATGGCAAAAGAGACACCAGCAGTTGGAGTACCATGATGAGCCCATAGCCCTAAGGCCTTATAAAGGAGACAGGATTCTAGCCAGGGAAAACAAATTGTAGGGGGGGGGGGGCAGGGGGAAACAAACTATTCCCCCATTTTCCATGTTGAAAACAAACTGTTCCCCCATTTTCCATGTTGAAAACAGACTGTTCCCCCATTTTTCCATGTTGAAAACAAACTGTCCTCCCATTTTTCCATGTTGAACTATTGTTTTTACTCCAAAAAATACAACGCACGACCTATACGGGTGCACGGAGCTTCCGGAACGATCGATTTGTGGCCGCATTTTAGCTGGAGCTGCACCCTCCTACCCTCCTTCGGCAGAACCCTGGGATACCAGCAGCTAGATTACCATCATTAGCCCACGGCAATCGGGCTATAGGGGAGTTCGGGAACAAGAGTAAACGATAGAACGCCAGTGCAGTCTAGCACGGGCAGCTAGTATGGTTACTAACGACAAAGACATAATTATGCATGTCCGTCTGAGACTAAACATGACCAGCGGGTTAGGGAGAGACTGTACAATACGGTATACATGTAATGGGCTCCACTTCGCGGTGTTCAGAACTCTTTGTTCGGTAATGCAGTGCAATACAGGGGCGTCGGAACCGCACCGGCCGGCCCACTTTCCGGGTCAATTTGGGGGGGGGGGGTAAGTGCATACAGCATGCATGCATGCAGTACATGCAGTGCACATCTGTACGTGTGGTGACGTGGTGCAGTGTGCCGTATTTCGCTGAGCCTTGAAGTACAGTGTTGGCAACTGAAATCCGACCCCCTGGACGGGGTGCCGCGCCGCCCGGGGGGTCGGATTTCAGTTGCCGGCACTGTACATAGCTGCGTAACCTCCCTCCGGGTTCAGTGCGTACACGAGCTGCTCTAGCTGCTGGCTGCTGGTCGGTGACAAGCGGACATGTCTAGTTGCACATCTAACCTAATCTAGCATGCACGATTCGCAACATAATCGGCGTAACTGCAGCAGGCAGGTTTTTTCCTAACACTAGTCACTGCAGACAGCACGCCGTTCTGCTCCAACTAACTTAGTTTGATAAATTTAGTTTGATTATGGTGCGTTCATCATCTGATCATGGCGGAGGCTGAAGTAGTTCCTGATGCGCCCCATCAACCAAGAGGTTTTGACTTTCCGAAAAGAGAGTTTGAGAAGAAGTCCGTCGTGAAACGTGCTTTCCAGGCCAAGTAGTTTGATCGTTGGTCATGGCTGCATTATTCTGAGGCCAGAGATGTAGCGTTTTGTTTCACCTGCTTCCGCGCTCACGCAGAAGGAAAGTTGGTGTGGTCAGCTAATGCAGATGGCGCGTTCATCGATATAGGCTTCTCGAATTGGAAAGATGCGACGATAAAGTACGATGCGCACCAGAACTCCAAGTGTCATAACGAAGCTGTCCTGAAAGTTGTGAGTTTACCGCGGTAGTGGACATCGGAGAGAGCCAGTCAGCGCGAGAAAGTAGAGAACCGGCACTGCTTCCTCAAGATACTGTCCTCGCTGCGCTTTCTCGCACGCCAGGGACTACCATTACGTGGTCACGGTGACGACTCCGACTCCAACTTCATACAGTTGTCAAGACATAACTGGCATGCATTCGATCTCTTCCTGGCTATGATGGTCTTAGTGTGCACTGGTGGGCTGACAGTATCCCCCCGCCCCCACTCCTGCTGTAGTGTTCATTGTACTATTGCGTTCAATTGCCTAGCCGCCGTCGCCCCCCCCCCCCCCCCAATTGGCCGCCCCACTTGAAATCTCCTTCCGACGCCCCTGTAATAATTATACTGGCAGTCTTACGACGAGCCAGGAGATGCTGAACGGGAAGAAACGAGAGAGCTTGGAAGCTCAGGGCCCTACGCTATGCTTATTTGCCTTGATGACCTAGACAAACAAAAAGCATAGGGATGTTATAAATTCTTTAAAAAAATCCTTTTTTTAAGACATAACCTGGGATTCGAACCCGCACTATCGCGCGCCCTGCATGCATCCCCCGATACACTTCGCATACATACTAATTCTTCCAAGTTGTTTCACATTGTGATCTTGCATTTGAAAGCCCTATTTGAATATGCATTGTGGCCAGCCGTCTTTGATGGCACGGTACGGTAGGGGATAGGTACGGGACAGGTACGATCGAGGGTAATACGACACCGTCTCCCGTACCGTACCGTACCATCAAACACAGCAGTAGGGATCTCAGCGCGTGAACTGCGCAGCCAGTCTGCGCAGGTGAGATTTTCGATCCCAAACGCGTCCAGTGCAGAAATCGTGGAAAAGAACATTTTTTTCGAAATAAATCAAGTTGAAGAAGACAGTAGAAATGGCTGAATATTGCGTCCAGGAAAGCACGTTCTACGGCCATCTCCAAGCTACCTATCTCCCAGACACTCTCTCAGAGGAACTATGGAGGGTCAAAGAGCACAATCTTTCACTCTTGGACGCAGCGTGAACACCTCTTCTACTGAGCGCGATGTCTTCTCTCCGAGTGATAATGGCGGCGATGTTCGCGATGGCTGATGCACTGAAAATCGAAGTTAGGACAATCTAACCGGAGAAAACGTCTGAATTTTTGACTGAATCCTCTCTGAAGTGGGTTCTTGCCGCATGGAAAATTATAGGAAAATCGACCGGGGCAATATCGCCTTGGCCACGCTGTCCTTCGGCGGGAATTACAAAGTATGTTCGAACGACGATGAAGATGACGATTCCGCTAGTGTCCACCGCGTCCCCTAGTGTCGAAAATCGACCGTCGCCATTTTTCTGCTGTGTCCGCGAGCAGCACTCAAAACTCGATGACGCAATGTACGCGCAAACACCCTGCGCACTGCACGCGCTGAGATCCCTAACAGCAGGCCACATACAGCTGCCCGCAATATTCAAATAGGGCTTTCAAACGCAAGATCATAACGTGAAGCAACTTGGAAGAATGGATATGAATGCGAAGTGTATGGTGGAATGCATGTAGGGCGATAGTGCGGGTTCGAATCCCAGGATATGCCTGAAAAAAATAGGAGAATTGAAAAATTTATAACATCCTATGCTTTTTTGCCGTCAGATACGGATAGCGCCAGGCGTGACACAAACAAACAAACACACAAACAAACAAATACCAAATTAAAGCTGTGTGGACCCTCGCTAGCGCCAGACCGCCAGACGTTACTGAAGTAACGTCTTCTGCATAGCTACGGGAATAATACGTTATTTTTGGCGTAACTTTATTGAGATAATTTCTTTCCTGATTGTTCGTACCTGCAAACTGCAACGCAGCCGCTTACACATGATCCACTTCTCCGAATCCAAAACGGTCTCTTCACTGCGTTTATCTTACACTTCATAATTGTGCTGCTCGGTTATTCATATTATCAAGAGTACATGAAAACCAGAGTGTGCAGCTCGGATGGGTTGCTGTCACGGCGGAATTCCGTGATTACATCATTTCAGTGATGTAGTGCGTACAAGCAGGATTCAAGCAGGTCTCTTTCTGCACAACTGCAGCTCAGTTGTACGCACTACGCCATTCCCCGCCTCAGATCTGTGCCAAATATGATGCAATCGCGGAATTCCGCCGTGACAGACACCCATAGTAGAAAAGGCCCCAAGCTGCACACACTGGGTTTCATGTACTCTTGATATTATCATTCTGGTGATGGGCCAGGCCCGAAAATGTGGTGAAATGTAAGGTAAGGATATTCGTACAAGTATTGCTGAGACCATTGTAGATGGCAACAAAGAATTACTGTTTATGAAGTTGAAGACGTGAAGAATTGATCATGAGGTAATTTCGGTACAGAAGTCAGGCACTTAACTTTTATAATGTCGATAACACCTAAACGGCACTACACAAGTATGCACAGTAAGTGAAGAGAATGCCGGTAGCCTGACTACCTTACGCGTTATGTTACCACCTTGTGAGTTACGTTACCTTATGCGTTACGTTACCACCTTACGCGTTACGTTACCACCTTATGCGTTACGTTACCACCTTATGCGTTACGTTATCACCTTATGCGTTACGTTACCACCTTATGCGTTACGTTACCACCTTATGCGTTACGTTACTACCCTATGCATTACGTTACTTCCTCCGCTAAGCAAAACTTCGTTGCATTTTTACAGTTCAGTCCAAAGCATTCTATGTCTGCCAAAGCGCTTTGCAAAGTGGAAAACAAAGCAGCATATGAGAGATAGTTATTTACAGATGTCACACAGCTCGTTTCAAAGCAGTCCAGCTTCATTCTTCGTCTCAATTTGATGATGACTCACTCCTTGATGACATCGAGTCGGCATCCTCGCTGACTTTCGCCTCCAGTGCTGCCAGCTTTTGTCCGGCAGCCTTTACAAGTTGCTGAGACACGTTTTGATCGCGGGAATCGCCAAGTTCTTTGCTCGGACTGTGAGC